GAGTGTCGAATTAATAAACCAACTATAGTGACTCACCTCACCAATACGTTCAATTAAATAATACATCTAAACATAATTGCGCACTGATCCACGTATCCGTGTTTTCCCCTCCTTTTATTTTGTCCTCCGTTGTGGATATTAAAACAAACATCCACTAACTAGCGAGTAAAACAAAATATAGAGGTCACATCATCCAATGGCGATCGTCACTGGATTTCTCCTTAAAGTGTAAACAAGTTATGCACATTATGAAAAATCATTCGTCGTCGTTTGTGTAGGACTTAGTTAGAACTATCTATGGAGAAAAAATCACGCCGGTGTCTATCTCCAATATTGAGATCCATGGGAGGCTATTAACAGAATCCTACGTGAAAAAGACTATGATATGTTTTAGTGCTCCTATGCGCACCCGTTTCCCAAGTTTTTCTGAAGCAAGTTTTTTTATGGTTTTGTTCAGCATTTAGTGCCGCATTCAATGATATATAATTGAGTTATCAATAATAACTTTTAAGTGCACTATATAGTCAAGTTATCACGTATATAGCTCTTGTATAAGCCGTATAATAGATATCACCTGGCTCGCAGGAAAAAAGTGGAAGATTCGCAGAAATTTTTATTGATTCGTCGTTTTGTATCAATTTCTTTTCGAACTATGTATAGTTAATAGGGGTTTCACTATGGTTTTCAAATAGGGCCGTTTTTGCTAGCATATCCACCCCCGTTTTTTATGTGCTAATAAGGAAAAGAATCAATGGTCATCGAAATGCAAAATTTGTTCAAAATCCATTAGTGATACACATAAAACAACATCGAATTTTTTCAAACATTTAAAGAAAAAACATCAATCCATGTTTGGTGAATGGAAAAACAAATCTGATCAATCTGTGAAGGATAAAAATCAATGGAAAATAGATAATATGTTTCGTCCTGATAGTGAAAAATGTAAGTATATTCTTATTTTAAAAAATGCACCAATTAATCCAAGAACAAATATAATAGAAGAATAAACATGAAGTAATAGAACTCGCATTTATGCAAAAAGATATTCTGTCATACTTGAGTTTCCTTCTGGTGTTAGAAATGTGTCATCCATCAATACTTTTTTTATGAATTTACAGTGAATAAACATTTTCTAAATTTAGATTCAACAGGCAACAAACGACAACAACAACTTACCAACAGTATTATTCAAAATCTCATAATAAGTATGGGTCTTCCAATGTCCATCGTCGACCATGTGTCTTTCAAGAAATTTATGAATGATGTTGATCCAAAATATAAATGTATTAACCACCGTAATCTTACTCGTTCTTATTTACCAATTTTACAGAAAAAATGTGTAGTAAAATTACAAGAGATTTGTGCTCAATCAAGCTATGCAAGTTTAACATTGGATGTGTGGTCTGATCGTCGCATGCGGTCTTATTTTGGTATAATATTGCATGTTATTATTAATGATGAATATCGATCATTTTTACTTTCATTTGAACAACTTGAAGGAAATCATGCAGGTGATAAACTTGCAGCTGAATTCGATCGTGTAATACAACTTTATAATTTGAATAATAAAATCGTTCGTTTGATTACCGGCAATACCAATAATAATCTAGCTGCATTCGATAATATTGTCTTACCTGGTTTTGAAGATGATTTCGATGTTACAACAGGCGATCAATCGGAATCTGATTCCAATGATGAACTATCTGATGAAAATGCAGGTGGTAATGCACAACAATTACATGCATGTGAAGTTGATGATTCTGTTTATCAAGCAACATTAAAGCCAACAACCGAAGAAGAATTTTTACGATTACCATGTTTTTGTCATTCTCTTCAGCTGGTGGTAAATGATGGAATAAAATCAAGTGGTCAAGCATTATCATGTCTCAAGAAGGTGGCTAGTTTAGCTAAATTTGCTCATACGAGCACTTTATTTGCTGAAAGATTAGAAAAAGTCAATCATGCTATTCCAAGAGCAAATAGAACCAGATGAAACAGTCAATTTTAAACGGTAAAAAGAGTAGTCAACATCCCATCATCAATACTTAATTCAATATTCTCTGATCGGAAGAAAAATGATCTTATACTTAATAGCAGAGACAGAAATATTTTAGAAGAATTTGTGTCCTTATTTGAACTATTTAATGAAGCTACTGTATTAATACGAGGTGAATCTTATGCAACTGTTAGTCTTGTTGCGCCTATTGTTCTTGGAATACTTTTCGATCTTGAACATGAACTTAATTCTTCTACTTTAATTCTTGTTTCTTTATGTAAAACTCTTATTTCATCACTTAAAGCTAGATTCAGTGGACTTCTTCGTCAGTTTGAAATTGATGTACCTAATAGTTCTTATTGTACGTCAGAACGTTTTTCTGATGCGATTTTTATTATCTCTTCACTTCTTGATCCACGTTTTAAACTACTGTGGCTTGATAATCTTGATACAGTTGTAAAAGTGCGTGTACTTGAAAAAATTCGTATCGCATTTGTTCGCTTTTTCTCCAAATTAACCTTTTATACGGCACATAATGCAGGAGCCGATACGTCGAACGCAACTGAATCAACTGATGTTTTTGTTGGAACAAAAGACAATGATTCTTCTACTAAAAGAATTACTTCCGACGATAAATTAAAAATTCTGATGGAGTTGGACGCTTATTTATGTGAAGAAAGTCGCGAAGAAGATTTACTTTTTTCAAAGAAACATATCTATCCAAGATTATATCAACTTGCTCTAAAGTATCTAACGGTGCCTGCGACATCGGCTCCTATTAGACGTGTATTCTCGCAAAGTGGTTTTCTGATGAGACCACATCGAGCATCATTAACGGAAAAGAATGTATGTGTACTATCTTTTCTAAAATGTAACAAAGTTTTGCTTTGATTTCATATACTTGAAGGTTGATAATACAATAAATTAAAAAAGTATTTTACCACTTTGCTTTGTCAGTATTTTGTTCTGGCATCTGTATACATATATATACCCGAGTCATAGCATTTTTTGCAAGCGCACGCAATTCTTGACTTTCTTGAGCAAGAAGTCAAGAACTATGGACACATCTTGAGGCAAGACATGATGCCTTTCGATGAGCTCAAGTTCTTAAACTTCTTGCTCATGCCGCTGGATATTTTTGCTCATGCGCTGGATATTCTTGCTCGTGCGCTTGAATTTTTATCTAAGCGTTTCTGTTATTAAAGAAATTTTTCAATTTTTTTTCAATTTTACATTCAAAATAACTCAACTTATTATAAAAATTTATAGTTGCATTCTTTTTGTAACTCATGCAAACATTCAAGCGCTTGTCTTGAGCAAGAAAGTCAAGAACTATGGACACATCTTGAGCTCAAGTCTTGCAANTGTAACTCATTCAAACATTAAAGCGCTTGTCTTGAGCAAGAAAGTCAAGAACTATGGACACATCTTGAGCTCAAGTCTTGCAAGCGCATGAATAAAAATGTTTGACTAGGGATATATATATATATATATTTATGTCACATAATTATTAAAGAACTATAGGATTTTTCCCCATGAATTATTTTAGAAATTCGTAGTCATGCCTGATTCAATAGTATCCGTATTCAAAAAATCGGTACTCGTACTCGACTCGTACTCGAGAAGTCACGTACTTTCCCAGCTCTGGTTAAATACGGTCGTAATTCGGTAATAGAAAACCCGAGAAGAGTTAACTGATATACCTTGATCGAGTCCAGTGATTGCTTTGTAAGTTCCCATGTTGAGGCTTCCTGGGTTATCGAAATCAAGTGAATTGGCATGCTTAAAAGCTACACGAGAGCCATCTATCGATTTCTTCACATCATGTTCATTAAGAATTAAATCATCTAGTTTCGATTGCTGAAATCATTCCCAAGCTTCATAAGAAAGATGTCCTTTGTATAGATGGTCAGTGCAGCAACGAATGCCCTTAGGCAACCAAATTCCTCTGTTGAGGAAGACTATCGTGCGCTGTGTATCAGACAACTCGCGCATCGACTGCGCAGCAGTTTCCTGACAAACAATACAAGTCCTAAATAAACATCCACAAGATTTAAAAAGATGCATTTTGATTATATCAATATATCCATGAGATTTTGAGGTACGCCATACTGACAACTTCACTGTTTTTTTTTCACCGTCTTCATGTTTTTTTTTCTTCCTCGTTTAGTATGTTCATCGCTGAAACTCTACTAGCAACATCAACCTCCATCAACTGATAAAAAGTACAAGTAGCGTTCTAAAAAAAGCTAACTTATGAACTTACCATACACTCTTCGTCCACCTGATCGGCATCATCAACTATTGATGCATCAATACAGTCGAAATCATCTTCCATCGACTCATGCCATCGATCGTACTGTCTTCGACAGGATCCACAAATGAAGTCGTCAAAACCAACGCGCTTTCCACTATTAGCAGCGATATAGACCCGTAAAAGCAGAGATTCAACTGTGAAGTATTTACGAATACCATCACGAATCTGCTTTTCACACAAAGAGCAACGATAGCGATGTTCACGAGGCATGCTAAACAAATTTAATGGAGCGATATATATACGAGTGCATCTCGATTTGTGTGTCGGTATACGTGTGGGTCTGTGCGTGCTCGTCTGTGAGAGTGCGCGTGAAAGTGTGCATGACCACGTGGGCGACAACGTGGGTGGAGCGTGCGCAGTTCAAACTACAGTATGTTTTAGAAAACCGAACATTCTATTAACCGCGCTTTAATATCCGTTCATGCACACCTTTAGGACCCGAAGTACCTAACTCAAGCCATGTAACACTCAACGACGGATTGTAATTGTACATAATATCACCCTGTGTCGTCAGTCAGGTTAATTCCTGATTTCGCAGGCATATATGACAATAGAAATATGACTTTCGAAAGACGGCATACGATGTTATTATTCAGTAATCCTGTTGCGTGACTAACTTATATATAATCGAGGTTGAAGCAAGAAACTATATCCACATCACTATGCAGCAGAAAATGGCCGATGATCGGTACACAGTAAAATTTTCATCATAGTGCCGCTGTCGAATCCTAGTGGCCATCGTTTCTTTAGCATCGCACCAATATCACTTTGTAGCATTGTTCACGCGCTTTCTGATGAAGTATGCCTTGAGATTCAAGCAACAAATTTTGCTCCAAAAGTCGGGCGTGTTGCCTTACATATATAAGTATGCTGCCAGTGAATTTCATGCTATGGAGACAATACTTAAAATGTCAGTAAAGCTCTTCGAATTTGCTATGAGAATGCTCACAATTGTTTTATCTTTCACCCTGTGTGTCGTTCGATGATATTAATGATGAAAAGTTATATGGGTCGATCTCACTTCTAATGCGCCTCCATCCTTTACAGTGCTTGGTATTTATTTCCTTCTTTGTTATTACATTTTCATAATTTATTATTATTAGTCTAACCACTAATCTAATGAGCCCATAAGGCTTGCGTACACATTCGTTATATCTACAGCAGATTTTAACGATCGCTTATGCATTTCGGTCGACTCACCAAAACTGAAATTAGTTATTCCCGAAAGTTAGAACTTTGTCCAGTTATTGTTTTCTGTTGGCCATATCGCAGTTGCGGAAAATAAAAGCATTATCCTTAATATATATCACATAATAGTCTATCTGCGCAGAAATTGGAATCTGTGTTCTTGGGAATATTTATAACCATACTGCACCCATTAAAATTTCAAGAAAGAGTGATCATCGAGATGTAACTATGTTTATTGGCATCGCTTGTATTAAAATTGGTTCGTTATATCTGATAACATGATTTTTATTATAATCATCTATAAAATGATCAATATTATTATTAAATGTTTTTAATTGTTTTTCTGTGTCATTTATTATTCGATTTATTGTGAATGAATGACGAGAAATGATAGGTTTGGTTTGTTGTAATCATTTATGTTCTTCTTCATCATGACCTAATTCATTATCAGAATTCGACATAACTGCACAGATAATTCTATATGATGAACAATAATTCGATTGGAAGCAAAGCTCTATAATAATGATGATGACGATAATAATAATAATAATAATAATAATAATGATAACTTAATAGATGATGATAGAAAATAATGTTGTCAGAATTGACATAATGATTTTAATAAAGTTGATGACAATACAAATACATCTCGAAGATCACCAATAGTGTACAAATTACGCTCAAAATTCAAGGATGATGATGGAAAAATATGAATTTATTGAGAAACAAAAATAAATTTACAAAAACAAGATCATTATTCCAAACAGCGTTACTATAGAAATAATGATAATGATAACGATATGTGAAGAAAAAACCCTGAGTGAAATCTTTTTCCAAGAGGTGACTTTATTTTAGTTTTTTTTTAATGCAATACAATTCTGCTAGATGTTCAGAATTGTGGTACAATTCTCCTGGTAAAACAAAATTCTAAGCAGAATTTTGCTTTTGATAGTGAAGCATATAACAGAATTCTGCCATTGCTATTTTTGAAGAGTTAGGTCGATCTCAATTTGAGAAAAACACTGTAAAGAGGTCAGTGGTCAAAGTTCATCGAGCGGGGTTTATCATGTTCAAGAGAATTCTAGAAATTTAACTTTTGACCTTTGATCTATTTACTGTGTTTTGTTTTGAAAATTGAGATCAACCTAAGTCTTCAAAAGCAGTCTATTTGATAAGCTCTTTATGCGATTATAATCAGCTCGTCCAACTCTACAAACTGGTATACTTTCAATATAAAACGACACGTCATACTCGGGGGTCTTCGCTCGTGAGATGGTGTTGAACCCGGCAGCTCAGGGCCTGTGGTGGTGCTGAGCTCTGTCTGTCACGGTTTGTGATTGTCTTGCAACCGGTTTGCCGCGGTCTGTGATGGTAGCTAATTCTTTAATGAATTAATTGAAATGCCTGTCGCGGTCGGTGGTGGAAGGGGCGATGACACGGCGTGTCGTCACCTGTATTGTCGTCTTAATTCTAGTTGTGTGGATGTTTCTCGCTATGCTTGCTCTCTATCTAGTTGTATCATGTTTCACGCTAGTAAATTCTTCTGTAGTTGCTTTACTTTACTTGGCGCCTAACTTAGTTGATCATTATTCTTTCTCTGAGCAATACATATAAAAACATTTACTTATATAATATATTATTTACTTGTATCTGTAATAATAAATACTCAAACACTATTATTAATTTTACCCATATTAATTATATGAATACGAGCTTGCCGCACATCAACGAATCTCGGCGGGGGGGGGGGCATTGGGCCCAAAACTTNAATCTTTGCCTTTAAATATGTCAACAGCCCTTTTAGTTCTTGTTTCAAGAAACCTCGTAGATGTGTCTATCATGGATAAAAATTTCAGCTCGTTAGGCCGAAATATGGTGGACATATTTTTATTTCTTATCGGGGTGCTGTTTATAAGTCACCCTGTATACAAAAAAGAAATATTATCGATATTTTTTCATCAAGCATAGTATGTATGGAAGTACTACCGTCGTTATTGCTTTCTTTATGAATTAAAAAGGCCATTAAGAGAAGTCAGTAGGATTTTGAGAATACTATTGTTGTCGAGCTTGTCATGGTGCGTCTTCGAAAACAAAATCAGGTCTGTTACCTTTACTGAAGCCGGTATGTATGTAAAATTTACACGTTGCAATCATTTTAGCACACCCGGTATAAATGATGATAATTTATGTTTATTTTTGAATGTAAATTATGGGAAAGAGTTTTCTATTCTTATTTTACAGCAAAAACAAAATGACACTCCTACACACGTCCACCTCAGAAGCACACCCAAATATTCCACACGCATCCTTATCCTTGGTTTCCTGATGTGGTATTGAATATGTGTTTGGTGATTTGCATGTAACTATCAATTAGATATCCTTGATGCTGATTGAATGATCTCGCTTTTTTTCGATTGTTGATTAAACACGAAATGGTATCAAGGATCCATCTACCTTCTTCTAACCAACCTTCAATCGAGAGAATGTCATACGTATTCCTATAACGATTTTTAAACATTCCACCGTTCCACCAGATGGGCTGATAATTTTGATCAAAGTGCAATATGTGTCCGCATACCTTTCGGTGTTGAATCTGTCCTATCGCAGCTGGGAAAGTTGGCATGAACGAATAAGCCATACCGACAAGATGAAAGCCGAGCCACCATGCATCTTTATCGCCATGAAGATATTTATAAGTGGCTCGTTCACGCTGTTCATGCTCATTCAGTTTGCATGTGCTCAAGAGACCCAGGAGAACTCGGCCTTTATCAATAAGAACAACACCGGACTCTTGTGTTCGACGAGGAATAGTACCAGTTTGGTGTATCGGCAGACTACGAATCCATTGGCGAACGTTCTGCAACAAAACTGGTCTATCGTAGAAAAATAGAGAACCAGTGCGAAGATACAAGTCATTTTCAAAGAGAAGTGTCGGGTTTTCCAGAAACAAAACATTAGCATCCATTAAAAGAACGTGTTGAAATCGTGATGCCAATACTGAAACCGGTTTGATTTCCCAATCTCGTAATTTCAAGTAGCTATCGTTAAAAATTCTCGATAGATCCGCAAGTTGAATTTCTGGAAATCGCAATGCCAACAGTCTTTGATTACTTGGTGAGAGGTCATTGGAAGTGGAGAACATCACTTCGATAGGAAGTTTGTTTCCAATTAACTGAAGAGCTTCTAAAGCGACTAATGCCAGGCGAGTGTGCCCATTCCCAATACAAATCACGATTCCCTTCGAATCGTTTCGATGTGATAAGGATTTCAATGTGTTGATCGATTCTCTATGTATCCACCACGGAAAGAGCTTCTGTTCTAAATTTTGACTGTATTGCAGAGAATACATTATCAGATCCAACACGAAGGCTTTAAAATAAACAGCCGATTCATTTCTCCGTATTTTTGTGTCATTCGCTCTGACGAGTTTGCTGAAAATGTCAGTCGGTCGATATTTAGATAAAAGCATGGAAAGCAAAATAATACGGACGACAGCATAAATGAGGAAGGCCATCCTCTGAATCCACCATCCCATGCCTTTAATAGAAAACGAAATTGCCATTTCGTTATTCCCTAAATGGAAAAATTAGGCTCTATAAATGTTAATTCACATATGTCTCTCTAGAAAGTGTGTGTCATCATAATTGATAAATTGTTATTGATACTTTTCATACATTTTATTGATGTAGAACATCGAAATTTGTATCGCATATGCTTACACTGAAAAACAAAAGTGTCGATTGATAAACCTTTAAACCGTTTATCAAAATGCAATGTATGATATACCCTTTCCTACCGTTTAGCAGAATGTGATAAACCCTTTTATCTGCCCATCGAAAGACTAAATAAAACGATTTATCAACCTATAATACCCTCAGTATAAAGGTTTATCAAAGGGTTTATACTACTGAAAAACTCTAAAACGGTATATCATACGTTGCATTTTCATAAACCCTCACCAATGGTAGATGAAATTTCTAAACCAACTCATTTCAACACACATATTCGTTTATAAAAGTATATATGAAGATGAAATACCTTCAGTAAAGCTACTAGAAAGCATTTTTTAGCTCAATCAACCAAAGAAAGCTTGATCAAAGGGTAGTTCAAACGGTTGATTAGTTTCCTCAACTGTAGATAGGCTGATTGGAGGGCGCTTTGCAGGGTCCGTCGTGTCCATCACTTACTTACGGAAAAAAACCAGCATTCTCAAAAAGCTTCGAGGTTTTCCATAACGTCAGAAATCCGAAATGACTACCCCTAGTACGACTGTGAAAACCGACTTTCAAATGAATTATAAAGATTCCCGACCCACCCACTTTAGTCCATCCTATTTAGTTTGGCTAATACACTCTCGATCTTCTATTTTCCCCACACGTTATCAGCTTTGAGATTCATCCCAAGTCACTCGATCCTGCCTCCAGAACCAAGGTGGAATCGACTGGGACCGGATCACTCAAGAAACCGCCACGCTTCCCACTCAAATTTGCCAGGATCTGACCGGGATTTCAACAGAATATTTGCTCCCGGAATCCGAACCGGATTTCCATGAAACAAAATCCGGTCGTTTCCTGCACTGGAAAAAAGGTTTCGTAGTCGATGCTTTGTATGGCGCTTCGTATGATATCAGCCAAACATAAATTTACTGTCAATTCTTTTTCTACAGAGCTCTCCCAACGTATATCCACACTTGAGAGACGCATCTGTCCTATTGAAGACATACCTAACCCTGTATTTGTCCATTAACCCCTCACTTCTATATCTAATTCCTTATTTCTATGATTAACCCTTAACTCTATCCTTAACCCCTTAATTCTGTCTAGTTTCTAAAAAACGTTGTTTCCCGATGAATTATTAGCAGGTTTCCGAGCTCAACAAAACTAAAACCCAACATAGAACCTAAAATAAATCGATAGCCAATAGAGATCAGAGAGCGAAAACGAACCGAACCGAACTCGAACTGATTTTTAAAAATTGCACTCGAACCGAACCGAACTCGAAAAATATATTGAAAAAATGAATAAATACAAGTCAATGTAGAAAAAATCTAATTAGGTGCACTATCATCTATTTCTTAAAAATATATGCTGCTGACAATGGTTAAAAGACCTTTGATCAGTTCTTTTAGGTAATTAATTCAACCTGTGT